CTCTCACTCCTCCCAGAGGCTCACTCTCTACCTCTGGACAAATGTTTCTTTTGAAAATGCTAGAATGAGGCTGAAGGTGGGAGCCTCTGTTTTTCATGTTTCTGCGAGTTGCCTGGGGAGAATGGTGGACTCCCTGGAACCTAGTCCTGGGTCTGATGTTGGAGGTTGGAGGGTGCTAGTGACCTGTCTCCCCCGGGATTCTGTTTTATGTAGTCAGGAAAGATCCTCATCCAGGTACTCAGGACAAGCCCTGGAGGGTTCACTAATCCTACTGGGACCTTGTTCCTGGCCCTCAGGCCCCAGTCTGCAGATGTGAGAACAGTGGGGAAAGTGCCTGTCCCCGCCGCTGTCTGGCCAAAGTCCTGCCATTCCTGGCATTTTGGTAGAAGCCAGAGAGGACCCTGTGGGTGCCACCAAACTCCTGAACATGAGGCAGGTCTCGGCCTCCCATCTGGAGCTGTGTAGCTTCATCCTGTGTGAGAATGGAGCTCAGAATGAGGAGTGAGGCCTCCATTCCTGTCACCTCCAGTGGAGTCACAGGTGCTTTCCCAATTATTTGAGCTTTCATAGACTTGTGCAGAGTAGGACCTCACTGCTTCTTCCACTATGATGAAGCTGAACCTCTGTTTGTATTCATATTCGAAGGTGATTACCTGCCCACGTGACTTTGGCCATCAGGAAGTGCCCTGAGTGTGGAACATTCCTTAAATCCTTGACCTCATAATCAGTATGGATGAAGGGTTCTTGTGTTCCCCTCTAGGATCTGAATCCAGTTTGGCCCTGAGGCTGGTGAATGGAGGTAACAGGTGTCAGGGCCGAGTGGAGGTCCTATACCGAGGCTCCTGGGGCACCGTGTGTGATGACTACTGGGACACCAATGATGCCAATGTGGTCTGCAGGCAGCTGGGCTGTGGCTGGGCCACATCAGCCCCAGGAAATGCCTGGTTTGGCCAGGGCTCAGGACCCATAGTTCTGGATGACGTGCACTGCTCAGGACAGGAGTCCTACCTGTGGAACTGTCCCCACAGAGGCTGGCTCTCCCACAACTGTGGCCATCATGAAGACGCTGGTGTCATCTGCTCAGGTGGGTCTCCAAGACTTTCCAGATGCAAGAATGGGCTCCCTCTCTTGGGGTGGAGTTTGCTCCAGAGGAAAGTCGTAATTACATTCTGATCTCCTCACTCGCAGCTTCTTCTGTGTTTCCTATGTTTCTGAAGACTTGTTAGCTCTCTGCTAAGAATCTGTATGAATTTTGCTACAGTACCTGGTCACTTCGGCCAGGGCTCCAAACTGAGACAACCACCCAGACTTTATCCCCTTCCTGAGGCAGTGCAAGGAAGAGGCAGAAGAGAAAACTGCTGGCTCCCCAGGGTTCCATTTCTCCCCTGCTGAGTAACAGTGGGTGAGGGTATGGTAGCCACTGCACAGACAGCGGGGTGGAGGAGGGATCCTCTCCTTGGGAGAGTCTCATGGTAAGGAAAGGACATATTTTGGGGTAGGGAATTCTCACTTAAGGCCCCAGTAAGGAGCATTTGGATTGGAGGCATATGGGCTAGGAGTGTAAATGTGTAGCTGTGCATGTGTGACCTGGTTCTTGGTCAGTTTCAACTCCTTCCAAAGAACTGAAGTGCATTGTCTGTCTAGCAAGCCTGGTGTTGGGAGGGCAGCCCCCATGAGATCGCCAGGCAAACCCTTGTTATTACCTGTGGTTTGGGATGGAAGATCACACAGGAGATTTTTGCTGGAGTGGTATCCTGAGACTTGCTGACTTGGTGAATTGCTAAAACCTGCAAGGGAAAGGGTTGGTTTTGGTTCAACTTGGACATCACATCCAGACACAGAGTTAATCGCCTTGGAGCTGGAAATGGTGGGCAGAATCTGCTTGGACCCCTTCTAAGGAGCATCTTCGAGTCCAGCCAAAGCACTGGCATTCAGCAGGTCTGAGTGAAACTCCTGGGTCTTGCTTGAAGCCTCTGACCACTCCTTACCTCATTCGATGTGGAAGGTTCCCTTATTTACCAGTTGTCAATTGATCTTTAAAGAGGATTTATTATTAGGGATGCTTTTGTTTGCACATGGCAGGAACTGAACTCAAACTCTCTTTAGCTAGAAAGGAATTCATTGGCTCAGGTATCCAGAATGTTTAGTGGTGGATCTGGAGCTTCAGGTACAGCTGGTTCCAGAAGTTCTAAGTCTTTTTTCCCTATGCTTTGCTTACATTTACCCTTTTATCTGTGTGGGCTTCACTATCAACTTGCTTTTTGCATGTGGCTGAAAGACAGCAGAGGGCAGCCCCAAGTCTATATCCCACCAGGAGAAGGAGTCAGTCTGTCCCAGTACCTCTGGCTGACAAGGCCTGGGAAGACTCTGATTGACCTGCTTGTCAACAGGTGCTTTCTTCCAAACCATCTCTGTTAGCTCTGATGGCTCAGCCAGAGTTCTATACCCATCTTTGTGTTCCCTTGGGGCGATGGGAAGGATGGGGGCACTAGGCTGTACTTGAACCTTGTAGGATGCTACTTTTTAAAATAGGAATGTCTGTTTCTATTAGAATAAAAAACAGGCAGGGTGTTTGAGACAGAGTCAGCAGTCCCTTAGTTGGACCCTTCCTTTCCTTTGATACTCTCTGCTCTTTGTTGGCTGACGTTACCCCTCTATCCCGAGATGGAACCTTCCCTCTCCCTGGCTGTTGTCCATGTTCATTACCATCATCTCTAGTTCCAGGACTTTTTCATTATCCCCAACTGAAAGCTCTTACCCCTTAACCATTCATAATCCATTCCTCTTTCCCTCAGCTCCTGGCAACCACTAATCTGCTTTCTGTCTCTGTATACAGATTTTACTAAGAACCCTGATCATTTTCTGTGAATGGAATCATAGCCTTTTCTGTCTGGCTTCATTCACTTAACATAATGTTTCCAAGGTTCATTCATGTTTTAGCATGTGTCAGAACTTCATTACTTTTAATTGCCAACTAATATTCCATTGTATGGCCATGCCATCTTTTGTCTATCCATTTATCAGCTTATGGACATTTGGATTGCTTCCATCTTTTGGCTGTTGTGAATAAGGCTGCTATGAACATTAGTGTATGATTTTTTGTTTGCACTTGTGTTTCCAATTTTGGGAGATATATACCTAGGAGTGGGATTTCTGGGTAATAGGGTACTTATGTTTAATTTATTGTGGAAACACCGAACAGTTGCCATAGCTGCTGCACCAATTTGCTTTCCCCCCAGCAATGCCTGAGAATTCTGATTCCTCCATATCCTCACCAACACTTGTTATGATGTCTTTTTCATCATGGCCATCCTAGTGGGTGTAAGGTGGTATTTCATGGTGTTTTGATTTGCATTTCCCTGATGACTAATGATGCTGAGCATCTTTTCATGTGTTGGTGGGCCCTTTGTATATATTCTTGGGAGAAGAGTGGCTTCGTTTTATAGATACTAAGCTGAAGACCAGAAGAACTAGACTAATATCAGTATCTTAGCCCAGCTCCTGAGCTCACCAGACAGGGTTCAGTTACACAGAGGGATCAGGATGTCTGGCCCAGTGTTGTGTCTAGCATGTGACATTCCTTCATGGAGGCCTAACTCTGCCATTTTTCCTCCACTCTCAGGCATAGGCACCTCTAGGTATGCACAACTGAGTGTTACCATAGTCACTTCTGCCCACTGTCCCTGTAGCTCATGGTATTCAGTAGGTCCAGGTTTTGTTTCAGATTGAAGGCAAGCTGTGGGTTTGAAAGTGACTCAGGAACAAGCCTCAGGCCTGATGGGGTGGTCCCTGTGAGCAGAGTGAGTCAGCCAGAGGTGAAGAGGTGGAATCTTCCAAGAACCAGGTCCTAGGGCTGCACCTTGCCAGGCAAGTGGGAGCTGGTCTCGGTTGCATCCTGCTGCAGGGGCGCTTGAGCCCAGTGGTCCCTGCAGATCCAGGCTGATGGCTCCTGCACTTTAACCTCTGAATCTGAAGGCCTGGCTCAGCACTTGAATTTCTGGGCACTGAGATAACTCCATTGGAGAACATGCACAGCTCAGTCCGTGCCCAAAGGTGTTAGAAGACAGCCCTTAAGGATAACATGTTGAAGAACAGGCTTCCGTCAATGTCTATGCTGCTGGAGAACATTGACTGGAGACCCAGAAACCTTGGCCTTCTGGAAGAATTCAGAACTTCACTCTGACCTCAGATTTCTCCCTTTAGGAGATACAGGAGAGAGTGAATTTTCCTGTCTCTTCTAGAATCCAATTCTGGTGTGGCCCTGAGGCTGGTGAATGGAAGTGACAGGTGTCAGGAGTGGAGGTCCTATACCAAGGCTCCTGGGGCACCATGTGTGATGACAGCTGGGACACCAATGATGCCAATGTGGTCTGCAGGCAGCTGGGCTGTGGCTGGGCCATGTCAGCCCCTGGAAATGCCCAGTTTGGTCAGGGCTCAGGACCCATTGTCCTGGATGACGTGCGCTGCTCAGGGAACGAGTCCTACCTGTGGAGCTGCCCCCACAATGACTGGCTCTCCCACAACTGTCAGCATAGTGAAGCCACTGTCATCTGTTCAGATGGGCCTCCAAGACTTGGGCCTCTATTTTAGTGCATGGTTTTCTCCATGACAAGGCTTCTCTTTGCACTAGCCTCCTCCCAGCCTGAGCTTCTCTTCTAGATGGCCAGTTTCTCTGATACCTCAACAGGGCAAGAACATCAGCAAATGCTGTCGATGTCTTTGACTTTTATGGGTAGGCACTAGCTTCTTCCTTACATAGGTTCCTACAGCAAACAAGGGTTCAGTCCACTTTCAGCTGTAAGAGTGAATTCTTCAAACACCTTTTTTTGAGACTAACCCTTAATGTTTATGTCTACTGCTCCACTCTCCTGGATGACTCTTGGGGAGCATTTCTAAGTGACAAGGTGGGGACAGACACTCAACATTTATCTCGCTCATCATCCTGGGCACTGGGACTGACTCATGTTTTCTTCTTTTCCTTACAGCCACCCAAATAAATTCTACTACGTCAGGTGAGTCTGCTCCACCCAGCCTAGCAATATTTGTCTTGGAAATTCCACCCTCTCTTGTTTCCAGAAGTAGGAGGAGTAGGGTAAGTTCCCCCTGAGGGGTAATTTCTCTCTGAGGGCTCAGACCTTTGTTAGGGTGACGAGCTGAGTTCCCACTGCCATCACTCTCATGTCTGGCTCACTGCAGAGGGCCCCTGTGGCCTCCTGCTATTGCCTGCTGATCGTGCTAAGTGCTGGCAGAGAAGCTGCTGCGGAAGGAGGCTTTGGCCCTCCCATTATTTCAGATGAAAATAACTGTCCAAATTAACCCATGGAAAATTGGGACCTTCATTTTAGAAACATAGCCAAGCGAGACTTCTGCATGTATTTGTCAAATGAAGAATTCTTTCACTTTGAGGGAGCCATCCCCAACATGTTTTTATGCCACAGTGAAAATATCCTGGGCCAAATATGTTGGGAGGTGCTACATACTCTAGACCTTACTGGCCATGAACAGTGTAAACTGGAATGGTCAAGGCTCTGAGAAGTCCTGTACTAAGGAAAAGGATTTAACTTTGTCAGTCATACAAATGACTATGGAATGGAAAAATTATCTAGTAAATTCCTAAACAGCTTCATTTTTTTTTTCTAGATTGGTGGCATCCAACAACTACAATCACTACAAGTAAGTATCACATTTTCCACCTGAACCATAGGTCATGCATTTCTTATCCTCAAGCTGGGCTATCCATGAGTGAATGCTCTGCCCCCACCCCAGCCTTCCTCAATCTGCACATAGCCCTGGCCTGTCCCACTACACCCTTCACCTCTTCATTTGAATCAATGAGATAAGTATTCTTAAAATAATCGACTTAAAGGCTTTTATTTTGGGGGGTATCTCCAAAGCTTTGGGAAGAAGAAGGGAGACAAATAGTAAATGGATAATTTTACTACAAATTATGCTTTTCCATGTCATTTTTATTTCACTATATGGATATGTTTCAATAGATTTTCATTGCTTTTAAAAAATAGTAGAACTACTTTTCTGTGTTATTAAATCTTTTCTCACAATCATTTTAATGCCTGTATTGTATTCTACTATAGAGATACGCCATGAATTATTTGACAAATCCTCAGATACTAGATATTTGTTTGTATTTCTTCATTACTGTAAATGATTTTGTGATGAAGAATATTTTTATAGACAATTTTTTTGCATACCTCACTAATTTTTCCTTTAGGATATAAATGGGTGTACTGGACTAAAGTCAACATCAACATAGTGCCTGGTACATAGAATGTACTCCATACATACTAACTTTTACTGTGTTAGGTATTTTAAGATCTTGCTGTGTGTGTGGTCCAACTACCATCAAGAATGGTTGTAAAATTATGTAATGATGTAACAGACAAAGTGATCTTCTTCCTCAGAGCTCACAGTATTATTTAATACACAACCAACTAGAAAATTACAGTTGTGACAAGTGTTTCCAAGGAAAAGTTCAGTGTGCAAAGAGGAAGTATTAGTAGAGATCTTCCTTGACTGGGGGGTTAGGGGAAGTTCCTTATGGAAGTGACATTTAAGCTGGGAGTTAACAGAGGAGCAGGTTCATTTACTGAAGTGTCTTCTAACTAGAAGGAATGCTTTGAAGGCCCTAGGCTGGGAAGGAGCTTGGCTCTTTGAAGGAGAGTGGGGTGGGGGCAAGGAGGGACTGCAGGAAATCTGTTGGGTGAGGCCAGATCATTCAGGGCCTTGTGGGTGGGTTAAGACTTCCATCTTTATCCTAAAGGTAGGGAGGCTGTGGAAAGATTTTAATCTTGAGAATTAGCTAATTGTAAATATATTTGCAAAAGATCATGTTTATCTTTTCTGCCAAACTGCATTTCCTGAAGGCAGGGGCCATATGTGCCTTTTCCATAATGTATCCTTATTATGCAGCATTGTGTCTGCCTTTCAAGAACTATTTATTGAAAGAATAAATGAATGAATGGATAAATTAATGAATACATACATAATTACTGTTGGCATTTTGGCATACATTCCATACACTATACACACACACATACACAGTATGGCATGCTTTATATCCCATTGTATAACCCATCATTTTCATTTAAGTGTATATAATACTTTTTTCATGACCTTAAAATTAGCATTTTTATAGCATTGAAATTATTTGTATAGAAGAAGGTTTAATGACTACACAATTTTCCACTGTATAGATATACCATCATTTAGTTAAACAGTTACTAATTGTGGGACAAAAACATTGTTTCCAATTATATTTTATAATGTTAAGTGACTATATACAATAGCATATTTTATAACTATTTCTATTTAATGTTTAGAAATATGTAATTCATATCCTTGTCTCTGAAAGTTTGGCTTTATTCTTAATTATTTCCCAGTGTAGAAATAGAATAGGTGGGCAGGCCACACGATCTTCAAGAAACACTGTATTCCCACCAAATGGGAGAACACATTTCTATCTCATAAGGGACTTGTACCTATGATATATAAGTGACTCTTGTAGTCAATGATAAAAAGTCAAATAACCCAACTGAACAATGAGCAAAAGACCTAAAAGGTATTTCTCTACAGAAGATTCACAGATGGCAGAGAAGGCATTGGAAAGATGCTCAATGTCATTAGCCATCAAGGAAATGCAAATGAAACACCCAGTAGGTGGGTCGTAGTCAAAAAGCCAGATCATAGCAAGTGTTGATGAGGATATGGAGAAATTGGAAACCTTATGCATGGCTTCAGGGAATGTGAAATGGTACAGCCACTTTGAGAAGCAGTTTGGTGGCTCCCCAAAAGGTTAGACCTGGAGTCACCATATGACCCACCACTTGAACTCCTAGGCATATACCCAGGAGACATGAAAACATATGTCCACACAGAAACTTGTATGTGAATGTTCAGGACAGCTTCATTCGTAGTAGCCAAATGTGAATGCAATGCAAATGTTCCTCATAGTGAATCGAGAAACAAGTATGATACGTCCATGCAGTGGAGTATTATTTGGCAATAAAAATGAATTTAATAGTGGCCGGACGCGGTGGCCCACGCCTGTAATCCCAGCACTTTGGGAGGCTGAGATGGGTGGATTGGCTGAGGTCAGGACTTCGAGACC